GACGGAAGAACACAGTTTCGTTACAAACCACAAAATGAATTTGTATTTATATTAGTATTGCATTTTGCTTTTAAGCCAATAGTCGTAAAACTTATTTTAAGTTTTCTATGGGCTGTTAGCGAGGTATCCAACGTTTCTTTAATATAAACGAGCTACTACTTAGCAACTAATCTAACTTAAACTGAAACTTATTGCACTGTCCGATTAGATAAGATAATTAATGTGAGACTTTAGACAACAAGCAGATAACCGAGCTGTTTTTGTGGGGGTCAATGGGCATGGAATATTAAATTAGTAATTAGCTCAGCAGCGTCAGCAACAACATCCAGATGTTGTCACAGCCTGCCGTCTCCCCGCTTTTCCCGCCCGGAAAACTTTTTCTTTCCCTCACCGAGATGAGACCTAAGTTTGCTCTTTTGCTTTTACTTTTGTTTCGTTTCCGTTTTCACCTGCAGGAATTACTCAAATTTATCTACGTGTGTTGTAGGTTTTGGGTCCATCTACGTTCTTCCACCCCTCCCCCTTTTTCCTGGGACAGTGAGCACTCTATATAAAATCTCATATGTACAGAAAATCACTAAATTATTATTAATTTTTTACTTAAGCGATCTCCATAATTCCAGATTTTTATTAAATTTATGTCTTAAATACATGTTTGAAGTGAGTTAACCATTCGGTTATTATATTTGTATCGTAAGATAGTTTATAATAGCTTACAAAATATTTGATAGCCAATCAACATAATTCAAATTGCGAGAGTACCTTTTATTTGTTGATTTTTTAATTAATTATATTTAAAGATAATTTGAAAAATAAATATTTTTGTTTTGTTAATCATTATTTTTCACTATTATTTCAGATTTATTCTATAATAATTTTAGTTATCTAAGCATGGCGTAGATCAACGCTAATGAATGACTATAAATATTGGTTATGTTTTTGAGATAGCCTTGCATTATACACTATGAATGGTTTTATTTGGTTAATTATTTTTATGTTGCACTGTGTTTGCTTTGTATTTTTGTTGTTGTTTCTACTTTGTCGCTTATTGTTGGTATTTTTTGTGTTTTGGCCTTTTTGCTGCGGGCATTGACTGACTTCCTTCCTGGCTGCCAGGACGAAATGGGCGGGGAACCGAAGAAGAAGATGAAATCTCCTCTTTTTGGAGCCTGGTGCCTCGTCTTCTCGGTTGCGTGTTTCGCTTTTGTACGTTTTCTATTGCTGCTTCCTTCCGATATTCCTCCTACTTTTTCCAAGGCCCCCCCTTCCGAACCCCCCTTCCGTGTTGTATTTGTATTTTTCTTTCTTCCTACGTTTTTTTCCTCTGTTTTTCGGTTTCTGCTTTTCTTTTGGACATTTTTTTTCTTTATTTCCCAGTGAATTTGGTTGTCTCGCACGTGAGCCGCATAATGAAATTTGCCACTCCCTATTGTCTCCGTGTGTGTGTAACGCTTTTCCTCGCTGTACTTGTATGTGTGTGTTGGCCCAGCTGCTTAGCCTAATCTGATGTCGCCTTAAAGAGATGTCATTGCTACCACCCCCAACCCCCACTTTCCCGACCACCACCTCCCCCCCAAAATGATGCTCTCGGTTTAATGCAAAGGAATCTCGGCCTGAATTGGCCTTGGTTTTCCGTCTTTGTCCTGTTTGCCGGCTTATTTGCATGTGCTTGGCCCGAAAGGTGACAACACCAAATGTTCAATGTGCCAAAAAACAAGCTACCATCATCGACATTACCCAACAAACAGACACAAAAACTACATTAAATTGTACGGATCCTTGAGACTTTCAGATACCTAGCAAAGTCGTACATTCGGTAGCAGGTATATCCAATATATAGGTTTGAATTAGTAAACATATTATCATAAAACATTTGTTAAAGACAAAAATAATGTATCCAATGGTTTCCAGATCTAGACAAATTCAATTTTCAGTTTCTTTAGCTGTCTTATTTCTTATGGGTTATTTAGATACCATTAGAAATTGAATGAGACTTTTATTATATTTCATTATTAAAAGACAACACCTGAACGAAATAATAGAATGTATTCAAGACTAACAAAAAAAGCTTTAAAGTTTCTATAGTTGTATATTAATCATAATTTTAATAATTCCGTTTAACGGGTTGAACACTCCATTACTTAAATCTTTATAATATACATTTAAGGGTGGAGTTTCGTTTCATAAAAAGAGTTTTAAGAAATTGAATACCAATGTTTTTACTTTATAACATATCATGTCCTGGGATTTTGAAACTAATAGGTACAACAGCACATACTTATACAGCACAGACAGCTTGAGGTCTTAGCCGGACCAATGTCTGACCCCTCCCCAGTTGCCCACACTTTTTACCACCCCCTCCCAACCAATAGCTTCACACTTTTTGGCTGCGCTGTGCTTTCAAGTGGAAAATTACTTTCGCAGCTTTATGATGCGGAAATTATATGAAAATCATGGCGAATTTGCCTTACAAGGAATGCCAGCGAGTCGAGTCCACAGTTCCTGGGCTCTGAGCCCTGTGCTCCGTATTCCGTGTTCCGTGTTCCGTGTTCCGACCGCCGGAATCCGCATCCCGTACATCTGCATATGTAGCACGGCTATCTGTGTGCCCGATCAAGGCGCCAGCCACGCCCACTGGCCCACCGCCCGTCGCATAATGAAACGAGCTTTTGCCTTTGCTTTCGACTTTGGCGACGCCGTTGACAACTTGTGGTGCTCCTCATCCGCGGCACATCTCGCCCCATACACTGAGAAATATTTGGGTTTATAAACTATAGTATCTTACATAAGATCAAAAATGGGTATATGAGAGTGGCAGTTAGGGATTTTGAAAATATATAATTACCTTTAGTTTTCTGAAGTTCAATGTTATTAGAATTTGTTTCCACTTGGTTACCGAAAAAAATATAAATCATTATAAAAGCAGTTTAAGAAGCAGATAATCAAGAAATCTCTTTTAACTAAAAACTTGTTTTTTACCCATTTTTAAAATTCTTTATTTTTTTCCCGCAAACTAAATGAGTTTACTTTTTTCAGTCAGCGGCATACTTTTCTTTCAATGAGAGAGGATTTAGACGAATCAAATGTGGTGTTAAAAAGGTTTATCAATTTACAAAAGTATTTAGAAAGTTGACTTGAAGTAGGCAACATATTTTGTAACAGGGCAGTGAGTTTTATTATAAAAATTGGAAGAACTATAATTCTCTTAAAGCCATCCATAGTTCCTCAACTCTTTAGCTAGCTTAGTTTTTTTTCCAGTGCATTGCCCTCACAATCCACCGAGCAGCTGCTGACTGGCTCCATTTCCATTTGAATTAGCATAAAACGAGGCGGCTTACGTCTGTCTATTGGGGCGGGGGGCGTGGCAAGGGGGTGAATCCGAATCAAAGCCACGACGGTATGGAGATGGAGGTCCTGTAGCAGAGATATCATCTGTTGCTGCTGTGTGTAGCAGTAGCTGTAGCTGTAGCTTCTGTTCTGCAGCTTCGTTATCTTTTTAACTTGCTGGCTGTCGTTTATTTAACTGATAATGATTTGATGGCAGTTGGCTAAGCTTCCAACAAAGCCCGTGCCCCAAACTCTCTCCACTTTCATTTCCATTTCCATTCCCATTCCCATTTCCACGCCCATTCCTCGCCATTTACTGAGGTCAATTACACGCTTTCGATTAAATTTACCATGGATGCTCGATGTATTTGTTGTTGTTGAGTTTGGTGTTGACAGGGAACAGCTGGAAGATCCTGGTATTTCGCACTCTACCACAGCCTCGTAGAAATATCCTTGCTATGTAAGTGTGTGCGTGTGTGTGTGGCACAAATAAAGTTGAATTATTATTTTTCTTTATGCTTCCAGGAGGCGGGGCCTGTGGTTGGGGGCGTGGTGCGTGCCCGGAATGCTCAAGTGTTGCCAAGTTGCATATTCGCTTCGTTATCCCATCGGGCTAACACACACAGACACACGCTTTAAAGAGGGGATTACTGAAATACCATATTGGATATTTAACACGGTGAATTCCTCAGCACATTCTTAAAAATCTTCAGCGTTTATAAAACTCTAACCTGTATGTCCCTAAATATCCTAAATACCTTTTGTTTTTTAAATGTTTTAGGCATTTGAGGGCCCAACGAATATATATTACGATATTGAAAGAATCCAGACATTTTTATTTAAGGAAAATTATTTGTTATCAAAAAAATAATAGTAGTTCCGATTTGGACCAATCTTTCCTTTTTAGTACTTCTTTAATATTTCTGAAATAAAAAACTCCTCGAAAAGAGGTTATGCAACTTTTAAAAATGCGACTTGTTTACGATTCTCCTCGTTTTTCCTTTTTAGCTTTTTTGCAATCAGAATCCAAATTGAAGCCTACAAACTTTATCCAAAATATTGATTCACATATACCTACGGCAATAACTTGATAAGCATGTGAGAAATTCAAGATGATTTTCTTGCTTCTTCTCTTTGGTTCCCGCAGGCTTTTAAATTTGCGTGAACTTCGTTGGGTTTTATTGCTCCGCCATGTGTGCTTGCCGGATAATAATAATGCCTGTGTTTAGTTAACATTAAAGTTCGCGTATTCTGTTTTTTTGCCAAGAACGTAAAAGTTTATAACCATGAAAAGTAAGCAAATTTCTGTAAAACTGCTTCTCTGGAATAACATATATTTACATATGTGTAGCGTGCCTAATTGAAGGACCATGTGTGAATAAACGCAGGTGAGTTTTTTTTTTCTAATTTGTACCCGCATTTAATTTAATTACTTCAAACATTAAATAATTCCACTTTGTTATTTATATAGAAGTGTAGTTTGTGCCTTGCATGTAAGTAAATATTAGACTCCTCTTAAAAGTTTTGTACTTCAATTTCTGCAAATATATTCAGAACCTTAAAATGTATAGTATTTATATGGATTGTTGATAGCCTGTTTTTCTCCCACCAAAACTATGCCATCAAAGGAGTTTTTAATGTAATATTTTATAAGTCAGTCAGCCTTTTTCCAACATTCATTTTCATAACTTCTAAATCATAAATTAAGATTAAAACTCGATAGTTAACCCTTGGCCAGGAGTCTCCGTTCGAGATGAGCGAACCGCTCTCGGGTCCCTGGCTTCGTTTTGTGTACAACGGCCTGCTGCTGACTACGGCAGTGTTTTCCGGCCGGAAAATGCAGCCGGAGGAGCACCCCTTCGCCCTGGCCGCTTGTGTGGTGGTCGGATTCTCGGCAGTGTTCGGATTGCTTAGGGTAATCTTCGCCAGCGGACAGCCGGAGGAGTGCCGGAAGCTGAGGGACATAACGCATGGTGTCCTGGAACTGGTACCACTGCCTCTGGCCAACATGGATCTCTATATGCAGTCCACCGGGCTAAGTGCCATTGCTTTGGGTCATGCTTTCTTCGTGCTTCCCCTGTTTTGCGATTTGGGCTGCAGTCTGGCAAAAAATCGGAGGGATTGTGCCTTTAGCGATAGCTTGAAAAATCTTACCGTTCTGGGCAACATTGTTTCCCTCGGATTCCTGGCCTTTGTGGAGCGGAATTTCCTCTATCTGCGGATGATGCTGGTCATGATTGTGGTCAAGTACGGAGTGGTTCTGGTGGACAGCATCAAGGAGGATGCCGGGGAGGATCTGCAGGTGTGCGGCACAGCCCTGTTTATACACCTGCTCGGCAAGGCCGTGGAGTCCTCCGCCTCCGGATCCTTGGTTTAACCCCTAACCGCTCTTCGCTTCACGGGTTTCCTTTCCCCGCTTAATTTTCCTTGAATCGAGTTTTGACCCGTATTAAATTTCATTTCAGCCGCTTTTCAATTGCTGTGTTCATGTTTGCTCATGTTTTTGTAATTGCTCAAGCACCTTGTGCTTTTTACACTAAGCAATGAGAACTCTTTTTTGTAGGTACCTTTATAATTAAGAAATTGTTTACATTTCATACATTTTAAATTAAGTTTTTACTTTTGGTAGAATTTCGTGGTATGCTGTTTAAAATTGTTGTTCACCACAAACTTCTAATGTAAGAACATAAGGTTTTTTTAAATCGAATTGGGCTCCCCTTTTCCATACGGACTAAAAAAGATAAACTTCTTAAAAATTATTACAATTTATATTGTGTTTCCCATTGAAATAAAAATGAACCCCAAAATGCAATAAATAAATACAAAACAGAAGCATAAGTACTACAAATTCTTCGAGTGCACAAGGGGAGTTGACTTCTATGGCTTCCCTGGTGTGTCACCCACACATTATAATGATATATCGGCGATTACCAATGCGAAATAAGTGCCTCCAGTCAGTCGCTCAAAGCAGTCGCTGATTCATCGCTTGAAATCGTTCAAATGCTTTTGCCATTGGTTTCTGTCTTTCAGCGGGGGGCTTATCAATTGATTTGGGCCGGATAACAAGGCAATCCTACTCTTTGGATACGGTATCTGTCGATAAGTACTTGTGGCGGGTACCTTAACTCGTACTTTTCCTTGGCTGAAAAGGTTGACTGAAGCTGAATGGAGAGGTTTCGTGGATGAGCTAGTATTAACAATGATTGAAATTTAATAATGGGGGAGGTAGGATTCAGACAATAGTTTAATTAGCTTACCAGTTTTTTATGTATTTTTTAAAATATAATTATTCGATTTTTAAATCTAGTTTTTAGAAGAAAGTTTTAAGACAAGAAAAACGTCACTATATCTATAAAAATTATTAATTTTGTATCTTTTTAAATTCTGTATAAGTGAATCACAAAAGAAGACTATTCTACTCCTGGAATAAAAATTCTAAGCAGTTATTGTAATTGACTTATTTAACTATTATGGAAACCAATTTGTGTTAAATACTGTATAAATAATTCAAGTTTCAACGAAATATGTCAAGTTTTATCGACAAATCAAATTTTATTAAAATTAAACTCAAAACATCCTGTCGTGTGCAGTCCTAAATAACAAAATCCATTTTTCACTTATTATAAAATCGGGATGGGAATCTGGTGATGACATTTATCAATAATAACCTGCGAGTCTTTTTATTTTTTCAACACTGCAATGGTTTCGATGTTGTCACTTTTATAATTTGTTGCTCGCTTGTCACCAATATATTTTATGCATTTTCGCGCTGCTGTCAAATGACAAACTCTAATTGCACGTGGGACGGATTTTAATGACAAACATATAGTTCCGTACAGTGCGTGGCAAAAATATAGGCCAAAAACTATTATACGATGCGAATGGAAAAATTAACAAATAAATACATCGTATTCTCTAGATGTAAAATGAATTTCACCATTAATTCCATTTTACTTAAAATGTAAGTGCAAAGTATCCCGATGTTTTATGGTAATACCAAAATAGGTTAAGCCAACCACATTAAATTAGTAATTTTATTCATTTGGTAGGAAACTATAATTCTAAATCAGTTTTAGATAGGTTCATAGGTTCATCAGTCATAATGTAAAACTAAATTAAGAATCTGAAATGCACTGTATTGCAAAAAGGAATTTCTATACATTTTTTTTCCAACTCTCCAACTATGATTCTCTTTCGCTCTCCTCCCACAAAAAAAAAAAAGCACCACGCGATTCCAGGACAGCGTTTTGCTTTATTCAACTTGACAAGTGAAGTGAGTGTGAATATTTTTTAGGTCACAACAACAGCAACAACAAGAACAGGACCAGGACTCCATCAGAAAACTCCAACTCCGAGTCCTGGACTCTCCAAACTCCTGCTACCTGGCAATATAAATAAACCGAAAGGTAAAAAAAAACCGGGCAAAAAAAAGAAGAAAAACACACAGGAAAATACAAGAAATGGTTCGAATCCTTTTCCATCCTGTTCGGAATTGGGTTGAAGGAACGGAGAGGGGGGCGGTGGACTGTGGGAAATTGCAGTCAACATTTATTTCCGCAGTATGATGGAAAAATTCGAAAATAATTTGCGAGCCATAATTAAAAGGCGACAGCAGAAAAACTCGGGGAAAATATGGAGAAAAGTTGAAGGAAAAAGTAGTAAAAGGTGATGGAATAGTGGGTTAGGTGGCCGGGGTAAATGAAATAGGGGAGGAGCTGGAGCTTGGAGCAAAAAGAAAGTCAGTCCCTCAATGTGCTCAATCCGCTGGGGTCATAAACAATTCCAGCATAGACGAGTTTTCGATTTTCGCCTCAATTGGCAACATATGGTGAACAGACTCCCTGAGAGCCAACCAAAGGATCCCGCAGTTACCCATTCCTATGATTTCCCATCCACAGTGTTTCCGCACTTGGAGAAAAATTAACCAGCAATACTTTCAATAAGCTTTTAATTCAAAGACAAAATTAAAAAGAAATATTTATAAGTAATTTTATTCATAGAACTTATAATGAAATGATAAAGAAAATATGGCAAACATTTTATAAATTAAAAAGGAATTACCGTAACAACATTCTGAATTAAAAAAAACCATTTGATTTTTTCTTTATAAGTGTTTGAATTCAGTTCAATAAATCAAAAAAAGATTTGCATTGTGGAATTGCATAACTTTTTTATAGTGTGTCTTGTGGGCGGGGCATCATTTGCATTTGTGACTGCGAATTGCGAATGCGAAAATTTAAAGTTTTCCCGATAAGAGGGTTGTAAAAGTACAAAAAGCGGAGAGTTGCTGCTGCAAAAAATGGCGACGTTTGCGAGGAAAGCGACATGAAAAGGGCGGCAGACAAAAGACGAAGACGCAGGCAGCAAACAAGAAAAATCGCTGCCGGCTTCTTGGACGGGGAAAATTCGACGGGGGGGCGGGGGTGATGGGAAATGTGAAGGATGTAAATGGGGGGACAGAACTTTACTTATACGAGTTTTTCGCATTGTAGAACGCGCGGCATTTGCCAGAAGGTGCCAACACATTTTATTGTTGTACCCTAAGAGATGAAGTACTTTGAAAGTTTTGAAACATAAATTGAAAAAATCATCATGTTTTTGAAAAACGGTTTTGAAAGTAATTTACAAATATTTCGTTATAAAGTGTTAAACAAAGTAATATAGCGAATTATTAAAACAATCAACTTTTTTATGCCAATAAAACTTTAGTTTTAATTGATATGCTTGTCTATATTATAATTTGTTAATTCAAATATTTAAGTAGGTTTTTAATAGTTTATAAATTTATGTATATTCTTTTATCATTCAATCGTTCAATTTATTTTGTTGGTTTGAAGAAGATTCCTTTTAAAATCCCTCTTAAATCGAAATCGAAAGCATGAAATTCTAGACCTCTTTAGTTCAATTTATTTGTATTTAACTCTGAAAAGGGTCCTTCAATCGACTACAAAAGAGTCTAGTATTTATTGAGGAGAGTGCAAGCACATTTTCTTGACTTTTCCGCATACTTACCCCACAGAATGTATCTTTGTTCAACCTTTCCCCCTTTAAGCAGGGTATACAAACTTCACTTCTGCAATGTCCTGTTCTCCTTTTCGTGTTTTATTGTTCGACAATTCACCGCCCCGCACGTTTCCATCATCTGTTTTTCGGGGTGAAACGGGAGGGGGGTGGCACGTTTAGATCTACGACACACATTGGATGGGTGTATCGCACATGTCTCTATCTATAAAACGTCAACTTTATTTGCCCAACAACTGAGGCAAATAACGTTCCGGCGAAAAGCCAGAAATAGTACGTACCATACAATGCTCCACAGAGCATCCCTCCATTCGCATTCACGTGTCCCACCCAGTTAGCAATAAAACCAGCTGTCAATTTGTTTATATTATAAAAAATAATTAGTCTGTATTCAGCGCCGAAGTCGACGACTCCATCATAGATGTATGTTTGAATGTATCGTATATGTACGTAGGTTGGAATTCGCACGTTGCACATTGCAATTTGGGTTGAAAGAAGATTTGTGTGTGTTGGGGGCTTTTGGGTTTTTGGTGATTATGTTTAAAATTTAAAGCATACGAGAGCGGGTTTTGTGGGTGATTAACTACGCTTGATAAGTGGAATAATAATTGTACGAAATATGTATGGATAATGCAATATAATTAGTGTGTTTGGTATGGCTTAGACATTTCGCTTTGTTTATATGCTGATGACGCTGACTTAAAAGGCAATGAAGGAATGTCGATATTTTAATTTATAGTTTGATGATCGAATCGAAACGAACAAAATGCGGCACAAAATGTTAGCTATTTCCGGACAGGACACAAATTGTTGCATACCTCCGGGCGTCTTTCATTTTGCTTGCACTCATTAAATGTTGTATATAATATTTGTTATGTTATTTATATATATAGAATATGCATTAGGTTTCCTTAAAATCATCCATCGATTCGCTTTCCTTATAGAATATGTATCTCTGATAAATATATAATTTATTTATTTTTTGTTGAATTTTCTTATTTTTCCGTTTGGTTTCATTTCATTTTGTTCGTTTTTCGATTTGTAACATAGTTTATTTAGGCAAAAATGGCAACAAAATTGTATGTTTAACATTTGTCTACTGTGCAAAAACCGTTTCGCTTTATAGTCAGTGGTTCTTGTCGCTCTTGTCCATGATTAGTAGTAGATGTGTATAACTTTAGCTAACTAACAATTAATTTAAACATTTGGTAACTTATAATTGGCAATAAATCGTTTGAATAAGCAAACATTCAACATTTAGCATACTTGATCTTAAATCGACTGCCCGAACAGATAACCCAAACTAAACAATAAATAGCTATATGATATATGTATATTGAGTGTGTATATATATATGTTTGCGTGTATATATAGTGTATGTATATAGATGTATCTCTGCATTGTAAAGTCATAGTGATTGTAGCCTGATTATGTTAATAATATATTTATGTTCAATATTTATAGATACAATATGGATTTTCGGGACTTTAATTTATGGTTATATTTCTCGTAATCCATAGTTTCTTAGTTTTAAATGCATGTCCCGATTATCCTTCATTATGCTAGCTGGCAACTTAAGATATTTAAAGCCCCTTTTGAACTTATGCGTGTATTTAGTGAGTGAGTCGAGTGAGTGATTGATTCGATTGATTTATAGCGTATTCAGTGGGTCAAGTAAGTGCAAGACAGTAGAATTTCCTGACAATTTTATGAATAATGCAAATTCGAATACAAATGGGTCTAAAGATATGTATACTTTCTCGAAATAATTTTGTTCACTTTAAATTTATTTTTATTTTATAAATTCAATATTAAGCACATTAAACTGCCTTACACCTGCAAAACCCACTGATTTTATAATGAGTTTCTTAGGTATTTGGGTTAATTATTAGATTACTTTAAAATTGCATAATTTTTGTTTCCTCTGGTTGGTTTTTTTTTTCATTGGTTTGTGTTTTTATGTTTGGTTTTTGTTGTTGTGGCAGACGTCGCCTAGTAAAATTTAATCAGTCGCTATCAAAGATCGTCTATCCTTCTACCTCATCCTAGTCGTGTTTTCCTAAAACTGTATGATATTTTTCCTTTTTGCTTTACTTTAGCTTGTTTCTTTTTTTTTTGGCCATTTTGAATGCTGGACTAGCTCGGTTTTTTTGCGTTTTTGGTGGGTGTTTTGGACTTGGATGCGGTTGTCTTGTTGCTGTTCTAAAAATCGCTGATCTCACCCTCAGTCTCTGGATAAGTGCAGGAAAAGGGAGTCAACAGCCAGTTGCAGAGGCCCTTATTGTTCCCAGCCTGATCCTGTCGATGTCGCTTCTTGTGGCACTGTCTTTGGTAATTTCCAATGCCCGCCGTTGTGACAGCTCCTGATCCTGAAATGGTGATGCGATGCCGCTGACCCTTGGACATGCCGGATGCGAAGCTACTCTCATCGGAATCCCTTACGGTGGCCACACTGTGATAGCCACTCTCTGCTCTTCTCGATATGCCCGAGTGCTTGGAGGTCCTAGGTGTGGAGTTGGAATCATGACCACTGTCGTAGGCCTCCGAACTGGTATTTAGTGGCAGCAGGGGAAGTCGCGATTGAGCAGCCAGTGGAAGTATATTCGTGATCTCATTGAGCTTATGCTGTGCATCCTCCAGAGAATTTCTCTTACCCACCGCCGCCGCCATGGATTTCTCATCCAACTCGCAAATATCATCGTGCTGGGGTGTAAATCTTTTCTCACCCTTCTGAAGATTCGGATCGGATGCTCCGTCTGGCTGGCGAAGTAGGGCATAATCCTCCATCCCAGCTATCTGCATTATGCCATTCAAACTGGGCAGTGATCCCTGACTCGGACTGTGAGACGGTTGTTTTGGCGGACTGGGTGTCAATCTGTAAGCCGGTTCACTGCAAACGCTACTCTGGCCCACATTGAAGTGATAGACGGGCTCACTGAAAACGCTTCCAATGTCCGTCCGGAAAAGGGCGGCGGAGGGCGTGACTTCGGCCATCGCCAGTTGGGAGGTGAAAATCTCATGCAGGCGGGCCAGCTGATCAAATTGATGTCTATTAAAAAAGAAACAAATAAAAAAACATAAAAAAGGATTAGATCAAAAGACGAAGTAGACATCAGCAAGCCGAAGTTTATATACGCTAGCCGTATTTATGAAATTGCTTAAAAATATCTTTATCTTATATATAAATGACATGAAAATGGGTCAAAAATTGGATCAACCTTAAAATGAAAAATTTGAATGCAGATTTTTAGAGAATCAAACCACGAGTCTTTAGAGGTATGCCACTTTGGAATCGGATAAAATTTGATAAAGTTATGGATATCGGAAGTCCAGTTGTGGGCCACCATTTAACAACACATCGCAAACTTGGAAATAAATGACATGAAAATGGGTCAAAAATGGGACCAACCTTAAATTGAAAAATTTGAATGCAGATTGTTTGAGAATCAAACCACGAGTCTTTAGAGGTATGCCACTTTGGAATCGGATAAAATTTGATAAAGTTATGGATATCGGAAGTCCAGTTGTGGGCCACCATTTAACAACACATCGGAAACTTGGAAATAAATGACATGAAAATGGGTCAAAAATTGGACCAACCTTAAATTGAAAAATTTGAATGCAGATTTTTTGAGAATCAAACCACGAGTCTTTAGAGGTATGCCACTTTGGAATCGGATAAAATTTGATAAAGTTATGGATATCGGAAGTCCAGTTGTGGGCCACCTTTTAACAACACATCGGAAACTTGGAAATAAATGACATGAAAATGGGTCAAAAATTGGACCAACCTTAAAATGAAAAATTTGAATGCAGATTTTTTGAGAATCAAACCACAAGTCTTTAGAGGTATGCCACTTTGGAATCGGATAAAATTTGATAAAGTTATGGATATCGGAAGTCCAGTTGTGGGCCACCATTTAACAACACATCGGAAACTTGGAAATAAATGACATGAAAATGAGTCAAAAATTGAATCAACCTTAAAATGAAAAATTTGAATGCAGATTTTTAGAGAATCAAACCACGAGTCTTTAGAGGTATGCCACTTTGGAATCGGATAAAATTTGATAAAGTTATGGATATCGGAAGTCCAGTTGTGGGCCACCATTTAACAACACATCGGAAACTTGGAAATAAATGACATGAAAATGAGTCAAAAATTGGACCAACCTTAAAATTAAAAATTTGAATGCAGATTTTTTGGGAATCAAACCACGAGTCTTTAGAGGTATGCCACTTTGGAATCGGATAAAATTTGATAAAGTTATGGATATCGGAAGTCCAGTTGTGGGCCACTTTTTAACAACACATCGGAAACTTGGAAATAAATGACATGAAAATGGGTCAAAAATTGGACCAATCTTAAATTGAAAAATTTGAATGCAGATTTTTTGAGAATCAAACCACAAGTCTTTAGAGGTATGCCACTTTGGAATCGGATAAAATTTGATAAAGTTATGGATATCGGAAGTCCAGTTGTGGGCCACCATTTAACAACACATCGGAAACTTGGAAATAAATGACATGAAAATGGGTCAAAAATTGGACCAACCTTAAATTGAAAAATTTGAATGCAGATTTTTTGAGAATCAAACCACAAGTCTTTAGAGGTATGCCACTTTGGAATCGGATAAAATTTGATAAAGTTATGGATATCGGAAGTCCAGTTGTGGGCCACCATTTAACAACACATCGGAAACTTGGAAATAAATGACATGAAAATGGGTCAAAAATTGGACCAACCTTAAATTGAAAAATTTGAATGCAGATTTTTGAGAATCAAACCACGAGTCTTTAGAGGTATGCCACTTTGGAATCGGATAAAATTTGATAAAGTTATGGATATCGGAAGTCCAGTTGTGGGCCACCATTTAACAACACATCGGAAACTTGGAAATAAATGACATGAAAATGGGTCAAAAATTGGACCAACCTTAAATTGAAAAATTTGAATGCAGATTTTTTGAGAATCAAACCACGAGTCTTTAGAGGTATGCCACTTTGGAATCGGATAAAATTTGATAAAGTTATGGATATCGGAAGTCCAGTTGTGGGCCACCATTTAACAACACATCGGAAACTTGGAAATAAATGACATGAAAATGGGTCAAAAATTGGACCAACCTTAAAATGAAAAATTTGAATGCAGATTTTTTGAGAATCAAACCACGAGTCTTTAGAGGTATGCCACTTTGGAATCGGATAAAATTTGATAAAGTTATGGATATCGGAAGTCCAGTTGTGGGCCACCATTTAACAACACATCGGAAACTTGGAAATAAATGACATGAAAATGAGTCAAAAATTGGATCAACCTTAAAATGAAAAATTTGAATGCAGATTTTTAGAGAATCAACCCACAAGTCTTCAGAGGTATGCCACTTTGGAATCGGATAAAATTTGATAAAGTTATGGATATCGGAAGTCCAGTTGTGGGCCACCATTTAACAACACATCGGAAACTTGGAAATAAATGACATGAAAATGGGTCAAAAATTGGACCAACCTTAAATTGAAAAATTTGAATGCAGATTTTTTGAGAATCAAACCACGAGTCTTTAGAGGTATGCCACTTTGGAATCGGATAAAATTTGATAAAGTTATGGATATCGGAAGTCCAGTTGTGGGCCACCATTTAACAACACATCGGAAACTTGGAAATAAATTACATGAAAATGGGTCAAAAATTGGATCAACCTTAAAATGAAAAATTTGAATGCAGATTTTTAGAGAATCAAACCACGAGTCTTTAGAGGTATGCCACTTTGGAATCGGATAAAATTTGATAAAGTTATGGATATCGGAAGTCCAGTTGTGGGCCACCATTTAACAACACATCGCAAACTTGGAAATAAATGACATGAAAATGGGTCAAAAATTGGACCAACCTTAAATTGAAAAATTTGAATGCAGATTTTTTGAGAATCAAACCACGAGTCTTTAGAGGTATGCCACTTTGGAATCGGATAAAATTTGATAAAGTTATGGATATCGGAAGTCCAGTTGTGGGCCACCATTTAACAACACATCGGAAACTTGGAAATAAATGACATGAAAATGGGTCAAAAATTGGACCAACCTTAAATTGAAAAATTTGAATGCAGATTTTTTGAGAATCAAACCACGAGTCTTTAGAGGTATGCCACTTTGGAATCGGATAAAATTTGATAAAGTTATGGATATCGGAAGTCCAGTTGTGGGCCACTTTTTAACAACACATCGGAAACTTGGAAATAAATGACATGAAAATGGGTCAAAAATTGGACCAACCTTAAATTGAAAAATTTGAATGCAGATTTTTTGAGAATCAAACCACAAGTCTTTAGAGGTATGCCACTTTGGAATCGGATAAAATTTGATAAAGTTATGGATATCGGAAGTCCAGTTGTGGGCCACCATTTAACAACACATCGGAAACTTGGAAATAAATGACATGAAAATGAGTCAAAAATTGAATCAACCTTAAAATGAAAAATTTGAATGCAGATTTTTAGAGAATCAAACCACGAGTCTTTAGAGGTATGCCACTTTGGAATCGGATAAAATTTGATAAAGTTATGGATATCGGAAGTCCAGTTGTGGGCCACCATTTAACAACACATCGGAAACTTGGAAATAAATGACATGAAAATGAGTCAAAAATTGGACCAACCTTAAAATTAAAAATTTGAATGCAGATTTTTTGGGAATCAAACCACGAGTCTTTAGAGGTATGCCACTTTGGAATCGGATAAAATTTGATAAAGTTATGGATATCGGAAGTCCAGTTGTGGGCCACTTTTTAACAACACATCGGAAACTTGGAAATAAATGACATGAAAATGGGTCAAAAATTGGACCAATCTTAAATTGAAAAATTTGAATGCAGATTTTTTGAGAATCAAACCACAAGTCTTTAGAGGTATGCCACTTTGGAATCGGATAAAATTTGATAAAGTTATGGATATCGGAAGTCCAGTTGTGGGCCACCATTTAACAACACATCGGAAACTTGGAAATAAATGACATGAAAATGGGTCAAAAATTGGACCAACCTTAAATTGAAAAATTTGAATGCAGATTTTTTGAGAATCAAACCACAAGTCTTTAGAGGTATGCCACTTTGGAATCGGATAAAATTTGATAAAGTTATGGATATCGGAAGTCCAGTTGTGGGCCACTTTTTAACAACACATCGGAAACTTGGAAATAAATGACATGAAAATGGGTCAAAAATTGGACCAACCTTAAATTGAAAAATTTGAATGCAGATTTTTTGAGAATCAAACCACAAGTCTTTAGAGGTATGCCACTTTGGAATCGGATAAAATTTGATAAAGTTATGGATATCGGAAGTCCAGTTGTGGGCCACCATTTAACAACACATCGGAAACTTGGAAATAAATGACATGAAAATGGGTCAAAAATTGGACCAACCTTAAATTGAAAAATTTGAATGCAGATTTTTTGAGAATCAAACCACGAGTCTTTAGAGGTATGCCACTTTGGAATCGGATAAAATTTGATAAAGTTATGGATATCGGAAGTCCAGTTGTGGGCCACCATTTAACAACACATCGGAAACTTGGAAATAAATGACATGAAAATGGGTCAAAAATTGGACCAACCTTAAATTGAAAAATTTGAATGCAGATTTTTTGAGAATCAAACCACGAGTCTTTAGAGGTATGCCACTTTGGAATCGGATAAAATTTGATAAAGTTATGGATATCGGAAGTCCAGTTGTGGGCCACCATTTAACAACACATCGGAAACTTGGAAATAAATGACATGAAAATGGGTCAAAAATTGGACCAACCTTAAAATGAAAAATTTGAATGCAGATTTTTTGAGAATCAAACCACGAGTCTTTAGAGGTATGCCACTTTGGAATCGGATAAAATTTGATAAAGTTATGGATATCGGAAGTCCAGTTGTGGGCCACCATTTAACAACACATCGGAAACTTGGAAATAAATGACATGAAAATGAGTCAAAAATTGGATCAACCTTAAAATGAAAAATTTGAATGCAGATTTTTAGAGAATCAACCCACAAGTCTTCAGA